TAAAAGGATCTCTATTGCATTAACATATATATCACATGAGTATTATTAAAATATGCTCATGTGGAATTAATTTAGACCAATTAATTTAATAAAGTATATCATATGTTTATATATTCAAGTCCATTACTGTATGTGGATGTGCCCTGTCCAGGATTCTGTGCTCTCACTCACAGCCAGCTTCTTTAGGCTTTAGCTTCTCATGTCACTGTATAGAAGTGAAAATGGATGAAATTACATTAACTCATTACATTTCTCAAGAGGCTTGAAGAAAAAGAAATGGAATGGTGTTGTTGGAAGTCTTAAACTGAAATCCAGGAAAACTTTATCCAAGGACAGTCGTTTCCCTCGTTTTTTTGCAATTTTATCATGTTGCTGTGGAAGACCGAGTGAGAAAGGTCAAGAGAGTGCTATGCGCGGGAAAGGTTTTCTGTTTGCACCTAAGACCACTGTCTTTCTGCAACTAAAGCCTGTGATTCATCACACCCCTGTATTCAACCAGAGAGAAATGAAACAGATTGCAGGATGCCAAATGGCATCTTCCGGTCCTGTTTTGTTTACGTTTGAAAGGCGTCTGACACTGTCCCTTTCCCTATATGTTCCTTTGATATGTTAAAGTCTCGCCTACTTTGAATGTATAAAAAGGAAAGTGTAACTTCAGCCAAGTGAGCATATCTTATTGAGGAGGGGAAACCCTTTCTCTGTGATATGCTTCCCTTCAGCTGACTGAATTAAAGATCTCTGTTTGACAATCTCCCAACCTGAGTGAAGACTGAGTTTTCTTCGACGTTGCATAACTAAGTCCTTAACTGAGAGCAAACACTGTAGACCACTCACCTTTTAGAGTATTATAAATTCCTTTGTAATATCTCTTCAAGAATATTGTCATTTAGAAGTATACTCCTGGTTTTCCTTGATAAGTTTGTTATTACATCTGGAATGCTGCATTATATATAAAGCACTAGAAGTGTTGAGGTGGTTTCAGTCCTTTCCATGAGCACACATCCTACCATTGTGGACAACCGCTACTGGCGAATACTTATTTCCCTTTGTAATTTTCTGCAGTATGAAATATTGAATACTAATTCTATATGGTCAGATAACCTAAGTAAAGTGAAAGCATAAGTACTGGGACAGTGAAGTGAAAATTGTCATTTTTGTAGTGTACTAATGAATTACTCTTTTGTTCTGAAATAGAAATATGAGGCAAAATGATAGATTTTCAGCTTTCATTTGTGGGCATTATTTTGCATAAATGCTTGGTCACAATATCATTTGCTGAGTTCAATTTCTCCATTTCAGGTGAGCATAAAATTTTGGTCAGATGGTTGACAGGTGTTCCTAATTGCTCAGGTGCTCCATGTTGCATTATTTGTGAGAACTAAATGTTTAGGTTCCAGCAATTGGACTTTACCTTTTGGGTCTGCCTTTTGACTTAGAAAGCATATACCTGTCACGAATGTCAGAGATGACGAACCATGGAATGGCAGGAGAGCGAAAAAAAACCTTTGCGTAGCGATACGGGGTTAACCCGGGCTCAGCTGTTCTGGGAATGCCATATAGAAACCAACGCAGTCAGGTAGCGGACGTGGGGCGACCTGGTGGTAGGCAGGTTTCAGGATATCCGAATGTCAATGCTGAGCCAAGGCAGAGTGAAAGACCCGGAAATATATAGTCCCAGAGAGAGAGAAACACCAGAAGGACAGCAGAGAACCGGAAATGAGAGACAGGACAGAAAAGGAGCACCCTCTGGCTGCAGAGGGCGTGACAATACCAAGATAAGAGTAGAGTTCTCTATGTCAGAAAAACAAGCAATTGTAAAGATGAGAGGAAGAAAAAATAATTAGAACCATTACAGAGACTGGGTATCACAAGATGAATAATATACTGTAGAATGTTGTGGGAGGGAAAAAGCAAAGACAGATCATCCAAGGAAAATGACAGTAGTTGATGATGGAAGAATTTCTATAACTGTAAAGAAAAAACCCAAAATATTAAAAGGTTAGTGTTTAATGTGGCAGCATACAGGGATGAAAGTTAAGTGGAAGTGCAGTTGCGTACATAAATAATACAAATAAAGGCTCAGATTTGTAATATCATATACTGTACAGTATATTAAATACATTTTCTTTGCAACTGATAAAAAAAACATACTTTCATTAGGTGCACCCACAGTCTATATGTCTCTTGCTTCTGAATTTGCACAAACCTGGTGAAAAGACTGGTTAAACCTGAAGGCAGAATACTGACAAATGTGAAACTAACAAAGAATTATAATACAGCACTAGACTTTAAGCAACTACCAAAAATGTATAATAGAATTGAAGTTTCAGATATTGTGGACGTGCTGTCATGTCTTTATCTAAACAATAACTTGAATTGTGGTAAATGTACAGAATTCACATTGCAAGTTTTATGAATAATCCTAATATTCAAAATAATCCCGACCAAACAAATTTTATTTAACACAAATATATCAGTATAAAATAAACATACACATGTTATTCATGGTAATTTGAGACAGGAATTAGCTGGGTGTCAGAAAGTGGCTCAGACATTCAAAACAAATCTACCTGTGTTATGATAATATAAGGAAATAGAGTTAATTTGTAATTTACAATTTCATTGAGATTAGGTTCATATGTATTTGATATTTAAATTAAACATAAATATGTGATTAGAATGTTAGCAATGGATAATTTTTACAACATTCTCCAACTAGGATTTAGTGTTTTTGTTATTCTGCAGCTGTTGTCAGACAGAGCTGCTGTGTAATGATTGGTCTGAAGCCCAAGTGCAGATTTCAGGGCGCTTCTTCGGGTTTTTCCGGTGAGCTGTATTATAGGAGACAGACGTGGCAGGCAAACAGATAGTGAGGCTTAGAATGCTCCACTAGGAGAAAGGCTGCCGTAGCAAGAGAGCTGGACAAAGCCTGAACAGGGAAAGCAGGACAGAGCTGAGGAATTGAGGTAAGGCTCCCAACAGAAAAACTGGAGAGAAGCTGGTGAGCTGACACATCTGAGAAGATAGCCGCTGAATAAAGCATATTGACCAGCAGAGGATTATTAGATTAGCTAGTTGAGACTGAAAAATTAAAATCTGGTGAGTCAGTGCTCCTGAAGTCAAGGAAAATAGCAAGTGCAGAGTGAAGCGTTTGCTTACACAGATGGGTCATAGCTCATTGTCGGAACAATGACACAGTGGAGCTAGTATTAATATTTATGTTGTGACAGTGACAGATTTTCAAAACTAAATGTTTAATAATAGTTACTGTACATACTGCAAGTAGTGTCAAACAGTACAAAAGCTGAACAGTAGTGACACAAGCACCCTGTCCTTACATCTGTTAATTTTAATGAAGCAGTACATTTGCAGTTTGTTATTTGATTGAAGAAAAATGTTTATTAATAGAAACTGATTATTTATTGTGTTTAGGGTTAGAATGGGTAGGTAGTCACAAGAAAAATGCCAAAAAAGGCTTTTGTTTAACAAAAAGACAAATGTTACAGATGGGTCCTAAAAAAATAAAAAGCCATATGGAAAAATTATGTAATTGATCTATGGAAAATGAGTAAGCACCCTGCATTTGCTAAACATTGATTTAATGTTCTGACAATTTCACATGAATTTAACAAATATCAATAAATACAACTTTCCATCCTTTTCCCATTGCTTAATAAAAGCTAACATTTGAAAGATTAATTTTCTTGTTATCATTGTGAATTGTTAACCTTTATCTGGAAAGAAAGATAAAGATCTGAAATGTTTTGTAGTTACAATTTAGGAGTTGCATCTGAACCATGATAAAGATGCTGTTTCAGAAATTTCAGTATCTTCTGCCATGAGTCTTCCTGGGCATAAGAGTGGAGCTTTGTCTCCCCTCCCCATAGCACGATCACTGAAAGAAAATAACTCATTCTTAGAACAGAAAGTTAAGAACAACCATGGGGTGCAGATGTCACTCGGAGGCATTAAAGCTCCTCAATTCCCTCCCAAATCCCAAGTCACTGATTAGGCAAAGGACCTGCTGGTAGCTAATGACCAGCTGATGTGTTGCCTATTTGTAAGACACTTAGCTGTGTAAAATGTGTATACGGAGCTACAGAGCTGAGAAAAAAACCCCAGAATTCTTGCATAACAGACAGCCACAGGTCTTAATAAAGGAAAGAGCTAAGGCCAGACAAGTTATAATCTGATGGTGCTTGAAGTCTCCTCGAGACCTTATAGGAATTCTGCATGCTTTTAGAACAACACGCATACGGTAAGACCTCATCAAAACCTACTGTAGGAAACACACTGAGGAAGGAACTCCTCAGTGAGGTCTGAAAAAGAGGTCTGAAAATCACACAGACCGCTATGACTAAGCACCCCACTGGCTCAAGCTTTTATCAAACATGGCCAAGGCTTCTATCCATGAATCCTGGAAACACTGTAGATTCCCAACAGAGTTCTGTGCAGTAAAGTACAGTTACTTCTAGGCTTGAGATCCTACCAAGCCATTCATGGATGTCATTAATCTCAGGCCTTGCATCAGAGTTCCTATATCGGAACAGATAATGTCAAGTCCTCAGGGTTGTAAACCACCAATAAGGAACTAGAAGAATGTCAATTCCAGATGACTTAGATTAGAACAACCAAACAGAACCCAGTAATCAAAAAGATGGGATATGCCAAAACTATTTTTATAAATAGAAACATAACATTTAAAAAGCTAAGTCTCTGAAAATTTAATGTTCAGAATTATTCACTTTTTAAACGTATCATTTTCCAATTATTGTTATTTAAGAAATTACTCATTGGTCACATTTACAACATGGCACTCATAAATACACCTTCTATGTAACGTAGGTATCTTACCTTTTTTCTTCTCCTGTGCAATCATGAAATTACTGGATCGAACATGTGGACTGTATGGTGGTTCTATAAGGTGACCGGTACCAGGGTAGGACAGCAATGTTAAGAGATGCCGATTCCCTGCATTCTCCATCATTTTCCCCATCTGCAAGAAAGAAAGATGGTTTTGATTTTGTTTGTGAGAGGGAATTGTTGAGATGCTGATCTGTTTTTATGACTTCATGACTGTCTTTGTCTTTAGATGTTTCAGGAACAGAACCTGTGCAGTCTTCAACTGCACACTTTTTTCCATCCTTACTTGCATTAATATGTGTAGCAAGGTGAATTATGAAAGAAAAATATTTTATGGCTAATAATCATATTACATATTAATACAGTATAAATGTTAAATTTCTTAATGCAATCAAAATGTAAAACATGCATCAGTGTAGGCTTTATTAGGAGCTGGACAAGAGTACAATACTAACATCTTCAGCAGATTCAGCAGATGGCCAGTTCTGATCATCTTCACCAACAACCATTAACAGAGGGCATTTTATCTTCCCCACCTACAACAGAGGTGCATAAAAGAGATACATCTATTCAATAGTCATTAAGAAAAGTACATCACATTTTATGCAACAAAGACATCACCTGATAGAATGTTTTTAAAATTAATATTTCATTATTGATTAAGACTCCACAACAGACTGGAAATATCACAAACAACGGTTATACGTGATACTGTTTAAACTAGTACAGTGACCTACTGTCTCAGTTTAGCTAAGTTCAGTCCTTGATTGTTGCCAAGTACTGAAATGTGTTTTAGGATGAGAGCGATGAACACACATTTACGCTTAAACATTTTTGCTTGCACGTATGAATTTAAGTAAAATTACAATGAAAAGGAAAAAACACAGAATATTTAACAAATAAGCTTACATCCACTTTCTGGTCAGGATCTGTAGGAATTGGTAGAAGAAGGTCCCTCCAGATTATGTAATTATTCTCATCATATCGCGTCTTATGAATATTTCTGAAAAAGTAAGAAATTAAGATTTTTTTTTCAGATTTGCTTTAGACAAACATAATCACAGCTCTTGGATCCTGGTTTGAGTCCCCAACTGGCATGCAGTCTACACGGAGTTTGCATGTTTACCTAGTGTGGATTCCCCCCCTTTCAAAGACATGTTATATCTTTAAATCTCCTCTGCAGCTTCTAGAGTATTTGATCATTCTCATATTGTGATATCACACAGTATGTGAAGATGACTAGTTAAGCATGTCGCAATTAAGATCATTGCGATTTAAATCGGGAAAATCAGTGGTCCTAAAACAGTTCCCTGTAGTACTGCATCAATTTCTAAAACATCTGTCGGAGCATTTGTCACTTATCTTAAGGGTTTTCATCCTCTGACTTGTTCTTAATCCACATGCCTTCATTTCCACGTAAAACCATAGCTGCAACTTGGAAATTCGTATTTTGGGAGGGACGGATTAATGAGGAAGTTCGTCAAAACCCTACTTATTATCTAAATCTGCCATATCATAGGCTCCACATCCATTACTGATGTTTACTCACTATTAACACTATTACACTATTAATACTGTACTCACTATTAACCTTTAAACATCTTTGCTTGCACATATGAATTTCAATAAAATGTACTTAAAGGGAAAAAAACTCGACTTCCGTGTATATTTTGCAGAACTTTAAGGCCTTTTGGCCCCCTCTAGTGCTCAACTGCAGCCAGAGTCCTTTCATTTACCAGTCTGCCACAACCTGCATGTTATTACAGTACATCCCAATCAAGTCCAATTTAGGCTGTCTACATTATAAGAAATAGTAACAAAATAAAAAAAACATTATATGACATCAAACTCATTCTAAAACAGATACAATCCAGGTCTGTGGAAATGATAAATTACAAACTGCAAAAATGTTTATCGGGTCCAATAAGCATGGTTAATGGCAAAATGAACCATTTAGTCTGTATGAAGTCATAAAGGGACTCACTTGCCCATCTTTGAAAAAACATCAGAAAGTGAATCCTTCACAGGATGAATATGGCTTCCACTAATGCACACCAAACAGGCTGGCTGAAAGAACAGACATTTAAATGGCATGAACCCTCCTTCTACTGTATAAAAGCTATTAAAATCACAAAAGGTCTGCAAAACTACCAAATAACAAAAACTTCAAAAAACTAAATTATTGTGTGAACTCTACTGTAAAGGTGAAATAAATGCACCAAATAAAAATGAAATAATTTAATTCCATACATTTTTAACACACACTAAGATTTTATCTTGTTTGGGAAAACTGGATTAATGGAATACAATATATATATATATTAATGGAATATTATTCTTACACAGATTACTGTTGAGTACGCAGCCATTCCTAGTGCAACGGATGTTCCGAAGGACAAGCCAAGTAAGGCCACTCGATCACTGGCTACCTGAGGATGCTCCTTAAGGAAGGTGAAAGCTGCCTTGGGTTCAAAAATCATCACAATAATTAAACTGTCCACACACTTCATCGTTAAATGTTCTTAGGTATTTTCTTCTACAACCTCACCCATTAGAAAACAGAACGCAGTTATGAGACACCTAAGTGCACCTGTGATGCTTAAATATTTGCCACTTTTAAAGAAAACAAATCTTGGTATGGTGATCAAGAGAAACAGTAGTGCCGTATTAAATGTCAAGGAGCAATTAGTTCAAAAGATGCTTACGTAGAATTTTATACACATTATCTGAGAGCCAACTAATTATAATTATATGACCATGTCTTGCTTTTTGTCACGATCCGGTTCTTTCCGGGCCCTATGCGGACGACACGATCCAGAATTGTGAGGATACAAGGGGAAAAATAGTCATCCAGGAGAAGGGTTTGGAGACGGGGGGCGTGTCCAGGGAGTGCAGGTGATCTGGGGAGGTGTGGCCGAGGCAAACAATCCATGTAAAGTCCAAACGGGGAATCTAAGATGAAAGCAAAAGTCCTAAACCAGGCGATCCATCCGGGGGTTAAAACCATGAACCGGGTCGGGACTGGCGAAGGGAGGGGAATCAGGAACTGAAGGTTAAAAACATAACGGCGCCAGACGCAGCAAGACCCAGGCTCTCCCGATGCGGAAATCAATGAGAAGCGCCAGATGATGTCTTCATCTGGCTTATAAGGTGGAACAAAAGAGGGAATGGAATAAAGAACAGGTGTGGGTAATGGGACAGAACGAGGAAGGGCTGGAGCGCCCTTAAGAGGAGGAGTAACGATCGTGACACTTTTACTTTAACCTTGTAATGAATTAGGACTTTAAATAAAATGCACTGAAAGTCATATAATGATGTTGTCACAAGCGTGCTCGTTTACAATGTAATGGGGCTGCTTCACGTCACCGGATGTTTTGCTGCCTTGATGTGAATTGCAGACAATGAAGGCAACATGGCACTATGCATACAGTACCTGGAAATTTAATCTATTCTGTGATGTAAATTGGAGGTTTTACACGTTACAGTGTACTTCAGACTTTCATTGTGGTTTGAAATGTACTCATCAATGCTGAATCTGTACAACCTCGAAATGTAAAAACAATGATGCAGTTACCCTTTTAAAAGAACCTCCTTATTGATAACAAGCTTTCACTGAGTGTCCATGGCAATGAAACTGGGTTTATGTTTGGAGGTTTTTATGCAGAAACTTCCACACAACTTACATGGAACAACCTTAGAACACATTTAGTGTGTTCTAATGTAAAGTAGGCCTAATCCGATAAACCACTATAAAAAAGAATAACACTAGTTCTTAATGAATATGACAGTTAAACTGTAACTTTTTTATTTGCCTGTGTACATTTTTGAGAAACTGCATTACAGTTTCATGTAATACTTTTTTATTTGATCTTACAATTTAAAGATGAGCTGAGCAATAAAAAATATCATAAACTGTACTCATGATATCTATTCCAGCAAACTGTGATTGCAACATTCGGTTAATTTCTCACAAGAATCTTATTCAACATTTCATATATGTAGGAAGGTCTGAATCCTGCAAATATGTGAGAAATTAAAAGATGAATATGCAGTTACATAACAGTATCATGTATGTCTGTTACAAATCAATTATTTGCCACATTTATCTCATTATATTTTTCTGCATTGTAGCAGCAATGTGCTTCTGTACAATTCTGTACAATTCACTTTAGCTACAGTAGGTAAGAGTAATGAAGAGATTCATAGTGTGGAATATCTCAAACAAAGCAAATCATACTCTTGTTGAAAAGCATAGCATTACGCGGGGGTAGGGATGGGCGATATGACCTCAAATCAATATCGCGATAGTTTCAGACATTTACCTCGATAACAATAAATTAACTATAGGTTTTTTGAAACCCTTGTAATTATATGATTAGATGATATGCTGAAAGATCATGTTTTAAATATGCGAAACTATTAAAGCTTTGTAAATATCTGGCACCGCAACTTGTAAAAAAAATATTTTCTCGAGGGCACAACGTATCTCTTGTCAGGGGTTTGAACGAATTTTTTGAAACCACTATGTTCCACTGCAGCAATAGGGACTATGTCCTTCGTTATGTAGTATGTAATGCTGTTACATCTGAGTGAATCTTTTGCGTATTGAGTGGCATTAATAAATGCTTGTATTAGAGACAGCTGTTTGGGGGAATCACTTTGGCCATGAGGGCGCTTCTCGGTCTTCGTATCCATGGTTGTGTTTTAAGTGATGAAACAAGTTGCTTGTGTTACATTTGGGAGCAGAAACGGTTTTCCCGACAGAGTTTACATCTGACTTCTCTTTGTTCAGTATTCTGTTTGCTGAAGCCAAAATATGACCAAACGATCGGTACTGGATCTTTTTTAGATACTAGCTCGTCTTCATTTGTACTTGAGTCATCCCTGCCTGACTGGGGTTCAGCAGAAGCGCTCATGTTGTCTCATGCTCGTTACGCTTCTTTGTGTTTTGAATGAAGAAGGAAGGTTGACTAAGCTGAAGCATGTGACTGGATATGACGACTGGGTGTTGTAGTTTTATAAGGGGACCGCTCATGAAAGTACACAGCGAGGAAAGCTTTTACCAGAAATACAGACGTAAGCAAAATTAGGTCGGTGAGATTCTTAATGTCGATAAATGTCGATAAATCTTCTATATATTGCCAAGCTCTACGCGGGGGTGTGTTCATAGTGGAGGCAGAACCCTGGTTTAAGGGCGATGCATTGCCTTATGAACCACAGCTGTCCTGGCTAATTTAGGATAAGCCACAGTTGTGGAGGCCCTTTCAGAACACACTGAGCACTTCATCGGAGGGACGTGCAACCCCCTCAAGGGAGAACTTTCCGCCGACAGTCCTGGAGGGGACTGTGACACGAGCCGAAGGCCGCATTTTTCCTTCGTTTTCTTTTCTTTTCGCCTGTCCCGCCGAGTATCTCCCACCTGGACAGGCTAAACTTTTCCTCCCTCTACCACTGTGTATCTCCACCAGAACAGGTTGAGTTCTCTTTTTGTCTTGGCTTTGTGCTCCCTTTTCTTCCATTCTGGTCCGCGTTAGATAGGGTAAGTCTAGTCTGGATACTGCTGTCCCAAGCGGTTATTTTTCCCCAGGCTGGAGCCCGTTAACTAGGGACAGTTCAGCCTTGACACCACTGTTTAAAGAGGCACATTTTTTTCCCTTTTAGTTTTTTTGGTTTTCGCTAGCCCTCAGATGGAGTGTGGACAAAAGGCAGAGCACTATATTGACACTTTTTTCTGTTTTTCTGTTAGCTTTTCCAATTCTTTAAATTTCACTTTGTTTAAATAATTTAACATCTTTAAACATTAATTTGTTTAATTCACTGTAACTTTGAAAGTGCCGGCATCATTCTGTAGCCCAGACTCGTCTTATAAACTGTGGATCATCTCTATCAGAAGCTTGCTAAGGACAGACCTTGCAATGACTCCCTAAGGCTAGGAGTGAGCCTTAGAAAGAAGTACTTTTAAAAGAAACACTTACCTCAAAATACTTATTCCCAAGATCTTCACCTGAAGTTTCTTCTTTGTCTTTGTTAAAGAAATACTCCAAAACCAGGGTTGCATAGCCATGAGACGCAAGGAGAGCAGACCGGTATTCCACCAGGCCTCCTCCTCCTCCCCAGAGGTCCAGGATTCCAGGGAACGGACCAGGACCTGAAACACAACCTTTTCCATGAGATGGAAAGTCTAAACAGCTACACACACGCCATAAATCACTACAGAAATTAATTCAGAATTGCAAACTCATCTTTAAGGCACCCAAAGCTAAACACACAGCAATATCTATTTCTCTGTGTTCCTTTGTACAACTCTCTTCTTTTTTGACATTTTAATAGCTTCGATAACAGGGACCATCAAACCAGGCCAGTGGTGCATGACCAAAACAAAAATCACCCTTTATATTCCCTCCTGCATGAAAACCTTTGAAGATACTTTCATTTGCTATACAAATATTAAGAAATGCAAAACAAATAATCATAACACAGGCTCTCAGTGTAGAAAAAGTAAGCTACTGTGTGAAATAAAAGTTTCTCTTTGTACCTTACATTAATCAAATGCACAAGTATATTAATATGATTAATGCCTTTAGTACTTATTAGTACTTCTCAGGGTATATCAATCAGTGAAGAGATTATTTGTTATTGATAAGCTCATATGCCTCAGTCACACAGAAAAGGCAATTTACTGTATAATTACACTTGAAGGTTGCTGGTGATTCCACCCTACTGTGGTTTTAAATTCTAACAATTGCTGTAAAAATCAGAAATGGGGTGTGCTTATAAATTTCCTCTCTACAGAACATTCTCAAGTACCTGGTGGAAGAAACAGTGTGCCTCTGATCCCATTGTTTTTTACATCAACCCTGCTGACACCTGGTGCTATGTACCAGCGCTCTGTAATGGTATATGCCAATGCTGGCTTCTCCTTGAATCCATTGCTGATATGCCCAGCATACACAGAAATGCGCACAGCCACTGGATTATGTACATCTTTCTTTCGGAATCTAAAAGAAAGTGATAAAATCGTTTTTTTAAGGATTTAATATCAAGAAGTGAAAGCTTAGGAACACAATGAATTCTTACCATTCCTTCCCTTTTTTTTAAAAAAAATAATAAACTCACAAATACTTATGTACCTGCCTTCATATTTTTACAGCAAACACCACTTTATGCCTTCGAGTTTAGGGCTTCATTTGTGTGACAATTTTTTTTGTGAAATGAAATTTTGAGAAAAAACTTACTTACATCATTACTGAAAATGGGTTGTCTTTTCATATAATCAATACACATACATTGTGCATTTTTAAATGATAAAACCCCTAACAAATTCTGAGAATATACAAGTTAAAAAATCCAAACAATAATCCTCAAAATATTGCTACACTCCAAGGCAGCAAATTCAATTACAAATTTGCATTTTGTCATAAAACCATCAGTCCTGGCAACTTGCCTGCAAAGACTTTACAGACACTTGTGGAGCACACTACATATACTGAATTACTGTCCAGTATTACAGCTGTAGATTTACCGAAGTCCCGGTCTGCTTCCAGGCACTGGCTTCATACTCCACAGCAGGCCCATCGGTTCCACACCTTCAAATGAGCCTCCAAGACTCTCCATTTCTGCAACTTGGAGAAAACAGAATTGGAAAAAAAAACATTACAATATGCAGTAGGTTCTCCAAGTCACAAATGTGGTAGTGTAGACTTACAACACAAATGTAGAAAAAAATTATTAAATGCAATATTTTGTAAAATAATGGATATAAAAGGCATGCAAAATACAACAAATGTTAATAGTTGCAATACTCATTTGTAGCATATTATAGCCTCTGAGTACATACCATTTTATGCCCTTGCTGAAATAATGATCATATTTACTTTGTACAATGTATGTACCATCCATATAAATTTAAAGTGTTCATTGAAAAGGCAGGTCATGTCATGTTATGGGTGAAAGACCTTTCTTTGACCATATTGTGAAAGTTTAAATATACTGTATATTAATTCAACTTTTATGTGAACAGATCTTTTTTGCACAAAGCAGATTCGGTCTAGGAATGTATTGCCATCTGATTATCTCACACTCTGTGTGTTACAGCTTGGGATTTTCTAAAACAGTTTCATAGATGGGATTTAAAAGTTTGCCTGTACTTTATAAGTACTGTAAAACATATTGGCTCTTTACCATAACCAAGGAAACCGAGATGAAACGTAAAAAAATACATGCATGAATGTGAAGTCATCTCAATATTTAATGTATTGTGTCTATGTAAGGCATAGTAAGAAACATCATATTTCAGTACTGTATAGTACTTCTGTTAGGTTATCAAGAACAACTGAATTAATAAATCTTTCAATGTCTACTACTGTATATAATTTATACCATCCAGTTTATACTTAGGAAAAAGGACGAAATCCATTATTTCAGACCTTTTACTGTTCCTTTAGCATCACTGACATAATGTCCAAACGCCTCCCAAAAATCATTGTCTTCAGAATGAATCAGAGAATGCAGGGTGACTGGCTGTCCTGGACTTAAGTTCTTAACGATGATTTTAAACTTTTCATCTGCGAGTCCTCTTCTGGGCACAATGTCCAAGAGTGGACAGACGCTGTTTCCCGACATCCTTCTTTTGATCGCCAGGAACCGTAAGATGTACTGTAGCTACTGCCTTCTGCAAACACGAAAGAAAACAGAATGAGTTTTCCTGCAACTGCAAAGACGTTTTTTAATGGATCACCATTTTTTTTACTCCTCCCCTATTATTTTATGTGCACACACACTGATGCCGTCATACGATACATATACTGAAAAACAGAACTTGGATATCTTTATGTCTGTAAAGTAATAGTACACTCTCCTCCCAGCACAAGAAACCTTGGACTTTCCACTCCGTAGTTATCGGAGTGCAATAACCTAAAGGTTGAATTAATATTTACTGTGAAATTGCATGACTGAAATAAACGTGGCACACATTCTCGTTGTAGAAAGGATCGCCTTACTTTTTTACGATAATAATACTAATTAAGGTTTTTATCTTTACACAACTAACACTTTCAGACAGTACGTCATAAAAATAACATGAAAGAGACATTCACACTTCACATATCGGTCGGTCAGTTTTATTGATGTAGCTGCTGATGTCAGACAACCATATAGACTGAAATCCAAATTGTTCCACTTAACCCAAAAACGAACAACAACATTGGACTATTGGGAGTACATGAGTGCAGAGAAAACAACACTACCATACTGTAACGCGTACGGGTTCGCGCAGAATAAAGGACAAACTGAAACAAAGTATACAAACGCCAGCTTTTATTTTCCATTACAGAAACTCCAACCACGGGATTTACACACACACGGTTTAGGGTGGTAACTCTTTAACAGACTCTATACACTTACTTATGGGGCACTAAGCTTCAGAGAACACAGGTATATTTACATGAACTGTCCCTCCCCCCCCCCAAGTCCCAGCCTGCTTTGCGGTTCCCCTTAGCGCTTAGGTGCACTTCCTGCTCACCACCGGTCAAGGGCGCTATAATACAATTACAACGTAGAGATACCCTGCATTTTTACGCTACTCATTAAAACAACTGCTCTTTCTTTATTTACCTAAAGAAGTTTCCCAAGGCAGCTCCTAACTGAATCGCCAATAAACGCAGCAGTTTGGAAATGGGAAAGAGCAAGCAGTAGACACCACAGCTCAGCACATTTTGTTTTACATTTTCTTGCCTAATTTGCTTGGGGAAATTTTCAGGGCTGCTGCGGGGGAGGTACAATCAGTGTTGTCAAACCAATTAAAAATAATGCAATTAACATGAAACAAAACAAAAAATAAAAGTAAAATCTACAGACATATTACAGACATTTACAACAAAGACATATCATAAAATATTGTAACGCTTACGGC